CTGTATTTGGGGCACAGTTATTAAATATTTTTATTTGTAGTGTTCTGTCTGCCGACAGGTCCATATGAACAGGATCCTTCCATTCTTTTCTCGGACTGGGACCTGTTCATATACGTTCTTGGCAGATGATCCAGAAGTGGTTTGCCATTGCCTTCTTCTGTGTGTGAATGGAGTAATTGTTGGGATGCCACGGAGGAAAACTCCGTGTTGCCTAGACCACGGCCTTGCCCAACACAAGTTATAAATCTGAGCACCACCGGGAATCGAACCCGAGACCCCCCAGGATTACAAGGCCAGCGTTCTAACCGCTAGACCACCGTGGCGGTTCCAGTTATTAAATAGCCTAATCAAAAATCTTCCAGAATATTGTTTTTGGTTGGCAGTAATACTGAACGTTGCGGTATTACTTATTAATCGTGAGGGGTCCCGGGTTCGATTTTTGACTCAAGATATTCTATCTTGACTTAGGTTTTTCCTTGGTCTCTCAAGGAAAAATATGGGATTATGCGTTGGAGGATATCACGATTTAATCCTTCAGTTTCATAATTTGTGATCGACTCCTGGTTTCATGCTATATAACTTAAGCATAAAAGAGTCTTTTTAAGTAACTTAATAAATTGTATGTTGTGGTGTAATACTGTTTCTTGTTTTCTGTACAAACCACGGCGTCCTCTAAGTTTGCTGACTGAGGTCTGCACGTGTTGCTGAAGTTATCACAAACACTAAGCGTAGATCAGCCCTCACATAGGCGGTTTCTATCCTGTTTTGTTACGTTATGGTGAATATTGAAAGCTTTTAATTGGAGGACTACCTTAATTTTGATCGGCCCCCTCTTATCCACGCTGTAACGTAATTACTTGTTTTATGGCTGCCTAGCAACCATCAAGTCATTGAGTGGATTGCATCTCTACACCGCTCTTGGGGGGTGGGGGGAGACTGAAAGGCAATAAAATCATTTCTCCCTGACAAAGTACCGAATTTATTTTTAAATGCTCCACTATTTGCTAGCCATCACGAGAGAGTAATTCTTTTAACATGGCAATTTTTGCAAAAAAAGAACAATAGATATTGCTGCATGACATAACCATGGAAGGAAACTTAATGGCTTGTTTACGATACATATGGGACGCGTAAACAGGTAGAGTGGTCGACGTCAGTGGTTTCCAACTCGTGGGTTCGAATCATCATGTGCACGTGAAAATCGTTCCAGATCCGTTTCGATTTCTCTCACTTGAAAGTGTCCAGGGTAGTTAATGATACGGGAAGCACTTAACCCGTTCCGTGCTACGAACGAGGAATTTTGATTTTTCATTTACTGTGGTAATATCATTGACACTAAGAATATTAATGAACTGCCATCTAGTGTAATTTAAGCTAACATCATCAACATCGCAGATATATTAACAGCGTGATATTATCTTATTAATATATTATTTTATTAACTAACTGTGTTTTTTGAAACGAGGAAAACGTGCTAGACAAATCCTGTGGAATTTATTATTCGTAGTTTTACACACTTGTCTTTAAAATTGCCCTCAGTTCGATATATCTGTAATGAAATTGTAAATACGTTCTGTGTCAAATAGGGCTAATTTGTCTAATTTAAAATATTATTCAGTGAGGATATATATATATATATATATATATCTGTATTGGTGACTAATGTAGTTCATGAGCGCATTTTGGTTACAGATGTTGGCATCGTCCTCAGAGTATTGAACTTCAGTACCCTGAGGACGAAGATGGTTCTCGAAACGATGATGTTTTCTTCATTAAACCACCTGACAGGGCTTGTAGCCCGAGAATAATTAATTACACCTTTGTTATAATCAGCGACATCTTCTCTATGATAAATCCCGGGCCACGCCATTGAAATGAACGTGTAACTGTGTAGGCAGCGATTCAAAATAGTCTATGAACAAGATTACATTAGAGACAATAATTCACTGACCACGTATCCTATAACTGCTATTGTAAAAAAAATGTGTTGCTATTATTTCAGTAGGATGTGTTTCAATGTACAAGTTGTATGCAAGGCTATAATGTGAAGTCGACGTCATTGCAATGTAACTGATGTCCTAGGAACCCTGTAATGTTGATTATAAAAGCTCCTAGCCGTCGCTCTGGATATTACAGTAATTGTGTACAAGGAAAAGGGTAGTATTTATAGACAACCCCCCCCCCCCCTCCCTCCCTCCCTCCAACATTCATGTACACCATTCCCTGTCCCACTCAACTGTGTTCATAGCAACATTAATTTTTCTTTTACGATGTGAGAATGAAGTGGTCTCTATTATTGCGTCAATATGTTAGTTGCTATTGAATCATTAAAACAAGCTATAAAGTATCCCATAACGATCGTTTCAGCTTTTATACATTCTATTTTTTTTATTTCTAACCATTTCTCTGCTTTTAGGTCTAAAAAAATCATTGGTATTGCGAAAGGGATGAATGGTTTACGAATCGAAAGTGTCTGTAAGTTCGAGGGATGAACTCATGTTTATCTGTGAAGTACGTCAATGTACTTTCACTTTGACATTTTGATCTAGAGTCAAACCTGTTCTTTTAATCTTGCATTGCTCTACCGGGTGATCTGTTTAATTTGACGGTCTCTCAGCTATATCTCGTATTAATTTCCCTGATGCCAATGATGATGAACTCTTGAGGTCGAAACGCGTATGGCAATAGTGTCTTATTATAGTGTTAATAGTTTGTTGGTTTGCTTACTCTATATTCTAATACACTATACGGTATGCAAAGTTTTAAGATTATGTCTCGTAAGTTTGCAATTTTTCCTTCGCACGCGATGATCGAAAGTATTAATACACATCCGAAGGAGGAGGGGATAAATGAGGCGTGGGATAAAGGAAAAGAGTGAGGACTTTGTAAGATTTGAGGTTTTCACAGCGGTGAGTATGAAGATTTCTGTCTTCTGGGTTGTTGCGCTGTGTAGTCTGGTCGATGTTAACCAACGTTTCAGAGGTCATACTGCCTCCGTCATCAGAGTATGAAGATTTCTGTCTTCTGGGTTGTTGCGCTGTGTAGTCTGGTCGATGTT